GTGAGATGCACATTCCCACGTATATATATATATATATATATAACCTTACTGCACTAGCTGAGCGAAGATTTGTAGCGAGCTGGCGACTCTGGACAGCCTGTACGTTCAATTTTTGGCGTTGAACATACATGAACTCGCCCGTCCAATGGCTTAACCGGTCGTCCCAGTCTAGGTTACTGTGAAAGCTCTTATTGTGCCACAGCTACCGTTTGAAGTCATTTTCAGGAAACACAATCTGTGCATCTGCTTTTCTGTTGAACGTGAAAATCCGCTTCGTTTGAACAGCGGCATGAGCTAAGCTCGGTGAGGAGGATAACTTTCGCAGTGTCATCGCCCTCTTTAGCCCGTAAATTTTGAGGGAAAAAACTGGATTCGTTGTCTAGAGTGTTCCATTTCCAAGACCTCATGGTTTCACCTGGGCTTCTAACTCATTGGGAATTGCGCAAATACCGGCTTTTTCGCTATGACAGATATTAAGCAAATGCACTCAGTGCCTACCGGCTCGTTGCAACCATGCTGAGGGTGAGGTAGTACCGTTTTCAACTTTCAGAATGACGGTTGCGCTTTGATTCGCACAGTAACGCTCGGTAATCAGCTGAATTATCATCTTAAAATGGCAAAGTACAGTTAAGCGCATATCCAGAAGGCTTGTAGTACTATACGTTGGAATGGCTTGTTAGAGCGCACAGTGGACATGCTTTCGTCTAGTGATGCTGGGTCTCAGAAGACCTTCGGAGATATCCTCATATGAGCCGACAGATTAGACACAATTTAAAGTCTTTAAGGAATGTACAAACCGCTTTAGTGCTCATATAAATCGTTTTTGCGAATACCATAGTTACTGGTTCTATTAATCCGTTATTGGGCATTCATTTTTTGACTTACACTGGACTACCCTGCCATGTCAAAACCACTAGGCCATCATTTTAACGTCACAAACCACTCTTGTGATGTGTTTCAACGACCAATAGAAAATAGGCCTTTCGGTTTTCCCTCGCCCCCCCCCTCCCTATCTTTGCTGAACTTCACTGGACGACTAATGGACAGTATCCCTTATCAAGTGATGCCCTACGTTCGTTACATAACCCACTCTCTCTCTCTCTCGCTGCACCGTGTCTCCAGCTGAAGCGTTCCGTTGGTTGCAGTGTATAGCAGACGGTTACGTTCCCCGCGTGCAATCCAATAATGCTAGTAAGTCGGTTCCCAATAAGATAACCACGGATTTGCCCTACTTCTCAGTAAGTTTAGTAAAAGTTGCCACACCTCTGCGCATGATCTCCTAATTTTACTAACTTGTCCTTTGGTAGCCACATTCTTACCAGCCCGGATATGTGTTCCATCGCTTTGCTCCAGGTTGCATTGTACAGGAAACCAGAAAATGCAGACCTTGAAGGAGTTCCATGGTCTCCGAGTTTGGAGTCACAAATTCCTTTCTTTACAATTTTTAAAGTACTAATTTCGAATGCAGTGGAACGAAATAAAAGTGCACCTAACACATCGTACACAATTCCAGAGGAGCACAGTTGATGAGAAGCCAAAAGTTAACAGGAACAAAAGATCTGACTGCATATATATATATAACCTTACTGCACTAGCTGAGCGAAGATTTGTAGCGAGCTGGCGACTCTGGACAGCCTGTACGTTCAATTTTTGGCGTTGAACATACATGAACTCGCCCGTCCAATGGCTTAACCGGTCGTCCCAGTCTAGGTTACTGTGAAAGCTCTTATTGTGCCACAGCTACCGTTTGAAGTCATTTTCAGGAAACACAATCTGTGCATCTGCTTTTCTGTTGAACGTGAAAATCCGCTTCGTTTGAACAGCGGCACCTAACACATCGTACACAATTCCAGAGGAGCACAGTTGATGAGAAACCAAAAGTTAACAGGAACAAAATGATCTGACTGCCCTTGTTTCCCGGGTGGTTGGCTGCATTGTTCTAGAACCTAATCCACGAGCTTTACGTTTTGAGGGACGCCAACCAGATCACTTGATTACAAGGTGCCTGTTTAGCCCAAAACCTACAAAATGTCTCGCCGCAGTTGTGAGTTTACCCATTATTCACTGCATTGACTTCCTGTAACCTATATGGCAAACTGTTTATGTTGCATCTTTTGACTTCCTGTTTACATCTCACCATATTCTAAAGGCATCCAATGCACGAACGTGCAAAACCACTACTTAAGGAGGCGAAAAAATTAATCGAAGTCCCATACGGTTCACCCAAAATGCAAGAAGAGTGGGTATTGACAAATGCTCTCGGGGTAGGTCCACAAAGCCTGTATCGAACGAAACGTTTGGTTGTCAATGCTCCGACATGCTCAACTAGGCCTGCTAATCTAAAATCGTCCCTCTGGTGGTCTAGACATCTTTGCCGTCCTTATCACCACGTAGTCGGACCTGTTGTTGCTTTAAAGCTATGTGCCACCGTAGAATTGATCAGCTGAAAACCTTGATTGGCATAGTCAGGTCCGATGCTGGGTGCCTGGGTCTATCGGCTGTCTGCCGTCTAAGCCACCGAAACCAAGATCGCTCCGATGTCTACCAGAGCCATCGGTCTCTGTGACTGGGTAGTTGAGATTCTAGGTGGCCCAGAAGTCGGATTGCCCTAATGCAAAGATGACCGAAATAAGTAAGTACTGTCTGATGCTTTTTAATCAGCAGAAATAGCTCAGGTTTGGGTTTTAAAGTAAAGAAATTGGTCAAAAAGCTATAATCGACTGTGCTTCAATGAGGCATCCGAAGTCGTTTAGGATAGACGTGACTGAATACAAGCAAGTGGAATTTTTACGAGCCTCACCTTACTTCAGCCAGACCAGAAAGCGGTCCGTTTAAGATTGCTAAAATGTCCAAGTGACACTATGCTTCAGTGTGTACTTATCCCGAAACCGAAACCGTGGACAGGCCTCACCCCAGTCCTGGCTCGCAGAAAGATTACGTAGAAATTTTATATTATTACTGTGAGGCATTCTCCTATTGTTAGTGTTCATTTTAATGACTTCAGGTGAGTGAGTACGGGGAAGCAAAAGCTCGAATGAAGCTTTCATTAGAGTGAGCAACACTCAGCTACATAGCATAACTGGCATATTGATAGGTGCCTGAGACGATGGAAAACACAAGTCAACCCTAAAAGACATGTTTTTTAAGCAGTATGCTATATAGAACACCAAGATTCTAACAAGTGCTTAAACTCCATACGATACTACTTGTCAGGCTGACTGAAACCTGTTCACAGCCCACTACCAGTCTTACTAATTGAGGCGAATCACGTTGGCACAGTCTCCCGGTTCCGTGTATTTTATTTCTTGGGCAAACTTCAAAAAGAACTGCTGGGTTGAATGACCACTTGAAACCTGAGACAAGATCAATTTGACTCGAAGAATCCCTCCATTATGACTACGTTCCCTCGATCAGCCTCAAAAAGTGAAACCATTGGCGAGTTGTTGAAGGCCCACAAATTATGGATGTTTTGAATACTGGCTGAAGTATAAGGTAGTCCATATACAGTGGATACTTTGAGATGATATCGAAAAGAAATTTCTATATTCACCTCACGGCTGAGAGAAAATTTGCGCTGTGAAATTGATGTTACACATCTCTATTCACTATCCAGTGTTGTGCCTCACTTTTCAGATGCACCAACTCTCCGTAGAATGTTGAGCTTCAGAGATTATTTGCGGGCAACGGTCATTCAAACAGAAGAACGATACACAGATGGATTGGGAAGAGTTGTTTTTTGTAAATCTTGTTATCTGGTGCAGTGCTGAGACTTCAGCGCACGGCACAAAAACCGAATCTGATCACACAGCCGGGAACTTTAATTAATCACATGCAGCGCATTCCTTGTGTCTATTATACGGCAGCCACAAGCTGAAGGCAGTCTGTGAAAAAAGGCGACACTTGCTTCTGAGGATCCCAACAGGTTTTTCCGCAAACGAAATCAGTTATACGATGTTATAGCAGACCAATCAGTCGACTGATTTCAAATCTTAGCCAAGCCCAATCAGCCATCGGTTTGATGAACCAGAACAGGAATGCGACATGAAACAAGAAGATAATTGATCGTAAAATAACAAACGGAAAGTACAAAGAAACCAGGATTTCGGGAAAAGAATTCTAAACTCAGGTGAACGGATTGGACGGCGTTGCACACCAAAAAGACAGCAAACAGACGTATGGGGTAAATGATAATGTGAACAGAAACTTAGAGAGCTTCTCGCGTGAAAGTGGCAATGTAGTTGGTCAGACTGCGTATTCTCAAAATTGCTTGGCGGAACTTTGTACCACGATCTGTGTTGGGAAGAAAAGCAGAAGGGATTCAAGAGTTGAAATTTTTGAACAAATGATGGGTTTCTCTAAGTGCCTCGTTTGCTCACCTGACTTTCGTGAGCACACCGTAGTTGCGAATGCGTTAATACGTGCTCCGAAGCATTCTGAGTCTCTTAGATAAAAAAAATACCACTTTCGGTAGCGAGTGATGAGAGCGTGAAAGCGGACTAAGTTTGGTTCCTACTTGTGGATTTTCATCGACGAACGCTATCCTATCTAAGACACATGCTTACGCGTTCAACTGCAATGGTTATAACTTCAAGATTAGGGAACTCAGTCGTCCTGCTCTTACGAGTCACTTGTTGCATGCTTCCCAACATGAGTAACAAGTCACTGTGGTGAGGTTCCGGTGATTCCTTCGCAAGCATGGGGCCGGTTGGATACTCGCACGAGAGTAAGAAGGTCGGTGGTACCAGAATGCAAAGGAAACAGATCATTCAGCTAGGTTTCCGTATTCACAAACGTAATGAGCATACATACACGTCCGTGGACAGTATGTACTTGTGTTGAAGCGCAGACGGTTATCGTACATGCATATCCGTGTTAAGTTGCCTGCTTAACGTGAAAGCAGGTTTCTTTTGTTCGCAATGGCTCTTTGGATCAGAAGTTCTCAGAAGTGTTCCGTTATTGTTCGGGGTCGTAGCACTCACTGCCAATACAGCAGAAAATATGCAGGCGGCCTCAGCAACTTCCACAGAATATTCGGGCAAAAGTTGAGAGCAGTATTTAACTGAAATATGTACTGAATGTAACAGGCGAACAGTATCTTCGAGTGACGCGTAATACCATAACCTCCGGGAAGGCAAAACAAAGTCTGAGCTGGGTTTCTATACGGTACTATTAATGTGAGACAAATTCATAAATTGTACAAACCTTGACAGTAGAGACCCATCCAAAACAAACGGTTCACTTGGACTACAAAAGTACGAACCAAATGAGCACACAGGTTTCCACGTGGGACAGTCACACGTGCACTAAGTCGGTCACAAAGGCTGGATAACCTCAAGGTCAAATGAGTGAGATGGTAAGGGCAAACCAACGTCAGTTCATATAAATGCGCTAAGCACAAAAGTGGGAGGGGGACAGAATAAACGTGGGGAATTTCAATTGTCAACGTCATCATCATCATCATAGTCAGCTGTAATAACCATGTACTCGTCGTACAGTGGTTGCAGCTGCCACAGTTTCGTTCACCGATGATTCGGGGAGGTGGGGTAGGCAGCTGCGCATTGCAGGCGGGAGATGATAAAATGGTGCATAAATCCAGCACTGTCGGTGGGCTGTCAAGTGGGGAGGCGCTGGAAAAGAAGCTATGCATTGAATGCAATAGCTTGGATGCACGAGCGCTTTTGAGGGCGCGTCTGGGCAATGTCTGACAATGTCTCCAACCCTTTATTTGGCCCATCTCGGGGTCCCTATCCAGGAAGACGGCAGTGACCAGCGCAGCTGAGTTTGCTGGTAATGGCTTCCATACTTCGCTGCCAAGTCATTGTTTGACCGCCTCTGGCTCTCTTCCACCCTTCACGTGGTTGTGCGAAAAGAGCCCGTCGAGGAAGTCGGTCGACTGGTATACGCAGCACGTGACCAAGCCAGCGAAACCTATGCAGTGAAAACCGCGCAGTTGAAGTTGGGACGAATTAGGATATTGGGAATGTCATTTCCCGTTATGTACTCAGCCTCTTAACTCCTTATCAGAAGCAGTTGGCTACACATCGAACTCAAAAATTTCGTCTGTCCCATAGTCTAACAACAGGACCATCGGAATGTTGCTAAAGGCCGTAGTCACAAAAATGGTGAAACCTGGCCTTCGTTCAGTCAGTGGAATCGGTCACTTGAAACAATATTGAATCGTACTTTGTACAGACCTGACGGTTGATCGCCATTCCTGGATGGCGATCCTGCTGGCAGCAGATAGTCAATTCAAAGTAAAAAGAGAAAAAAATGATCCTCTTCAATCCACTATTCGGAACAACAAAAGGGTACAGATTGTGAGTCATTAATACGTCACAAAATTGTAATATTATATATATGGACTGGAACGACAACAAGCACTCAAAATTGAGTCGCGCAGACAAAGGGAAGGGAGTTCGGTTGGAGTTAGCCCCAAGATCTGCTACTCTAATCTAAGTCAGTAATTGTTGTGCACAAGTCTTGGCCTGCTGTGTTTTGATCACAACTGCCACCCAAATTGTCGGGTTCGTTGGGTTTTGATTTATTAGCAGTGCCGCAGAAGCACTAACAAGAATGACTCCGCCCCAGCGAGGAGCTGTGCACTCAATGCTTTCTACGTGTGTCTGAAGGGTTTTGCTGGGCTCTCTAGATGTGCTAGGAAAAAATCGGGTAATTCAGAACAACGCTATTTCGTTTGTAAGCGACCCCCTCAAATTCAAAGCGTATAATTCCGGTGCAAAACAAGGTATCCAAATAGTAGGGAGTTGTCATGAGGAACTTTACGTGTCAGGATGTAATCTGTAGCGGTTCCCCTTTGCTTTCGATCACCTCACTTAGTTCGTTCGACCTGTACAAGTGCACTGCAGTTTCCCATCCACTTTTGTTTACGCTACTACTACATGCATCACGTGCCATGCTTACGACCTTGACTCACACTAGTTCAAGTTGTTCTCGTTCATGTGACCGTCAAACTGGAATGGCTACTCCTGTTTTCACATTGCATGCGACACATCGCAACACACACGCGCAAACAGGGCAACCAGACAATTGAACTCCACGCGTGCACTGGCAACAGCAGTTCAGCTGTAAAGAGAACACATCCCGCGTCCGAACATTCGTTCGGGGACTCATACCAGTTACGCTCAAATGATAGGTTATCTTCCGACCTATTTTATTTTTTGCATCTTATTTATGTTGTACATGGTGCACCTAGTGACTGTGACCTATTGTTTACCAAAATAAAAACTAGTATCAATGCATACACCTTCTGAATATCTTAATATGACCATTTATAACCTGAGCACCTATAAATCAGCTGAACGAGCATTGGTGAATGAGAAACTGACATATGAGCTTTTCTGAAAAGAGTACAAAATCATGAATGCGAGCATATTTTCGGTATTTTTCTTTACAAATGATACTCCTATGATATTTAGGTTTCTCCTGCGACTAAGAGTTAAATTTACCTTGTGGTGCTCCGAGTGGTAGTTCACCAAATCGATTTGTGAGTAGGAGTCTAACGAAAGCCTGAATTTCATAGGTGAATTCATGAGGCAACACCCGATTAGGGTGTTTGAACCCGTAACTTAACTAAAGGATGCTTGGAGTGGTTAGAAAGCAGAGTTCAATGGCTTTCACCCAATAACTTATAAACGGGTTTCAGAGATAAATATGCGAACGCCAGGTTAGTTAGCAGAAAAAGCGTTGTTGAAACGGATGATTTCAACAACCGATTACCACTGATTATATATATGGGTAATCACCGGGGTGAGAAGTTCGCGGACTGATATGCCGACGACCCGGGTTCAAATCCTATTCGGGCTGCTAAAGTTGGCTGCCGGTCTCCGACCTGATAAGCTGTGTACATGTTGTGTGAGACAAAAGTCACACCTAGAAGTTTGTAAACAACTCGTCAACCCGACTCATAGAAAGAAAACTCAGTACGTTTACCAGATAAAGGCAGGCGGTTTCACAAAAACCGTACGTATCCAGTCATCCAGCTCTGTCTCCAGTCTGTCGCTTTCATTCCAATTCCTAGGCCACTGGTAATTGTAGCCACAATTAACTCTGTAGGACGGATCAGCACTCTTCTCAATGAACCCAGCGAAACATATACTGGGACTCACGCTACACACCAGTGAAACCCTGTATTTGATGACGGAAAAGTGAATGTCATCGTTTGAGGGACAAATCGCCATGGCGGATCATGACATCAACGCTGTCGATGCGATGTAGTAAAATTAGTAAAAGATGTAATGACTAAAACACATTAACGAATAGCTTTTGTGCAAAATCTGTTAATTAACTTGGAAATAACCTTACTGCACTTTATCCTACGCACCCCCTACCTTGTTACTCGATTTTGAAAGTTTGTAATACTTTTAACCTATAAACATAAGGCGTTTTACCTCTGCGACTGGTGAAAGCTGAAGGAATGTTAACATCTGGCAATCAAATTCTCCTGGCTGTCCTCGCACATTAGACAAAGAGGGTTTTAGACGTTATATACTACTCATGAGGTTACTGAAAAATCTTTGACTGTCGACGATCGGTTTCGCTCTTCTTGGGGCTCATCAGGTAGGCTTTAAAACATGATAAACGAGAGATTCAGCAAGGTTCCAGGTGAGTCTCACGTCAAAACCAAATTGATATGCAAGTAAGTGTATTTCGCCAAAGAAGGATTTTGCTGTTTAAATACTGTGTAGTTCGTCCAAACAGCTTATGAGGTGTGGTGTTTCGCAACAATTAGGCTTCTTCCCATGATTCTCAAGTTCTGCCTATTCACCAGAGTTTTCATCTGCGAGTGAGTGTAAACGAATCAGTGATCCAACGGGAATGGATCTGTTAACCTTTGTAATCAAGGCGCCTGATGGACGTCTGCAAAGATGTGCCTTTGTGGGATACACGAATATCTCACCAAACCTGTTTCTTATTGTAATGTTTTTCGACATGCACCAATCGATAAAAATGTTGACCATGATTTCAATGGTTTTGGATGAATTTCAAGCGCACTGTTTGTCAGATACTTCACATAGGCGGTTAGCTACCGGTGCAAACATATAGGAAGTTTGCATCTTTATGTGGAACTTCGTGTACATAATATAAACCTTTACCGAAGGCGTCATATGATGGGGTTGTTTTAGGCGGCGTGTACACTTAAATATTGCTCCTTGAGCTGTACCATGTCTCATCTGATAGGTGCCTCAGTCACTGAATATATGTAATGCGGGCTACTATGTGTCATCTTTCCGTACCAGTTAGCTGTAATTTTCCATTTGAATTCATACGGT